ACAAGAGGATAAGTCATGTTACAACATTTATTTCCATGAGTTATAATTCATGAGTGATCGATCAAAGCAGAACCAGAAGTGAAAGCCATCAGTAGAAATAAATTGTGCTCTACAAGTTATGTTTATGGAACACAATTTTTGTTGTAGATTGTGCATGGATTAACTGTAATTTTTTATATTAAATCCTGAAGCAAAATTAGCACTTTGGCTGAAGTGTGAGTGCTATGTTCTTGACAAGGGTTTGAAAGTAAGAAATAAACATGCATAGAAAGGTAAATAAAGGATTGTGTTGTATTTTTTAATCTTCTATCTGAAACTTTAATTACTAGTACAAGTGAAAAGGAAAGAGTAACTGATAGAAGAGATGGAGGAGGCTAAAAAGAAGTTCATATTTTTTGTTAAATTCTTCGTCAGATACTACAGTCATCCTGCTTTCAGGAATTTATAGGCAATTCTGTGTCAGAGGAAATGATGGAGATCAGACTGATCAGGAGGAGAAACTAGAATTTGTTGTCACCCTACTGACTGTGAAAGTCATCAGGAAAAATAGAATTCCAGATATTCCAAAATTCCAGCTGAATTACATTTGTATCTTTGGTCCTACAATGTCCTATTAGTACCATAGTTTCCAAGTAAGAAGCTCTGTCAGCCTCTCCTCTCAATGAGAAAAATGGAGGTAACTAATCTACAATGTTGTTTGACCTCTGAAGGGAAATATCTTTGTATATAAAGTATATAGGAAATATAGACCACTGAAAACTGAAGTTTGATCCCTCAAAATTCTCAGTAGATGCCCAGTTTAAGCCAGACTTCAGCATAATGCTGACAAAATGATTATTGCACAGAATATACAGAGGGTGAAGGAATGTTTATAAAGAGGTAACAACAAATACAATTTTACTGGTTTTGAGTAATAATCAGAAAGAAAATGAAATGTTATTAAAGCAGGAGAAAAAGCTTTATAGAAATCTTCTATATGGTTTCACAAAGAAAGGTGGCTTGCTTATGATCTATAAAAAAAATAACAATAAAAACTTCAGCTAGCTGGAAAAAAAAAACAAAAAAACTTGTAATAAGAACTCCTGTCTGGAAGTTGAAGCCAAACAAATTCAAATGAGAAATAAGGCACAATTTCACAGCAGCAAAGGTATTTAACCTTCAGAGCAAAAAGCCAAGGGCACTGCTTGATTCTCCATCTCTCTGCCTTCAAATCAAGACTGGATGTTTTTCTGTAATACGTTAACAATAAACTACTGAGCCGAGCACAATCGAAAATGAAATTTAATGACCTATGATATACAGGGTCAGAATAGATGATCTAATGGATCCTTACTGCCTTGAACTGTATGAAAAAGTTAATGGAGCTGCACTATATTACAGAGACAAAGAATTTGTCTTTCGTGTCAATTCCTTAGCGTTTTTCTTTTTTCTTTTTTTTTTTTTCTCCAGCTGGCTTGTGTAAATTCATGTGGAATTGGCTTCCCTCTGTACTGACATGAAGAAAGCCTGTCACCGCCTCCTCTCCTAAAACTGTTTTGCAAAGTTATCCCAAATTTTCAATATATATTTTTTCAAGTTTTAATGCCATCCTTGTCACTAGCTAATGCTAAAAAAGTCTTTGACAATAGAGTTTTTGTATTCAGGTTGGTCTTTTGTCTTTTTGTCCCTAATTAAGACAGATGTAATCATTCGCTATATCTTTATTCCCGTATTTCTCTTCCATTTTGTCTCTGAATTGTTTGTTTCTTTGTTTGTTTTTGTAATTAGAGGGTTACCAATTGTTATATAATACCAATAGTATTGCGGGAGTTTTTTTTATATACCTTCTTTCTCTCACCTTATCTTTAAACAACATTTTATTCTCATGTTTCTTCTTGCCCTGGAGGTCTGCACAGCCTCCCTCGTGCTATCCTTATTCTCTTCTCTACCTTATAGCTTAATCCCTGATTAATTCATTACATTACTTGGAGGCTCACGATAACAATTTTTCAGCTCTGTTTTTTCTCCCGGTACACACAGCTCTACTTTCTCCACATTGCTGTCATATTTTAGTCTTCCAGAAAGTCTGGAAGCCCTGTGTTTAGAATTAATATCTTTCCTTGGGAATAAATCATGTTTTACATGTAAGTACTACACTGACATGCATTTGATTACCAGATGTTCATTTTGAATATTGTACTTTTGTAATGACATCTCCAAGAAGCAGTATTCTAGTTACAATTGTAATGTAGAGGTACTCTGTGAATATTTTATGACACTGCTCATGGAAGGTCCCCCTGTATGTCTTCTATATGTCAGTTTCATGGTGAATCAATTGTGCAATTGTTGAACGAATTCTTTCTAGTCATTATAATGCAATTTATTAGTACTAAGCCTCAGCTCTCATTCCTACAGTGTAAATAATTATACACAATTTTTCTTCTTGTGAGAATATTAAAAATACAAACTCAACTTCAAAAGAGTTTTTACTACTGTTTTTTTAGTTTTATTTTACATGTATGTATGCAATTTCAGTAAAAATGTAGAAAGGTATAATTTTGCAAGACTAAAATGTTCTAGTGGGAGAAGGTTGTATTTGCATTTCTCCTATCATGCATACGTGTGCTAAGATAACATTCAGGTTTACCATATTAATATAATATGAGGGAATTTTATAAAAATATGATACAAATTAATTATATAAAACCTATTTTTGTATTTCATTTCTGCATAAACGGAATACCAATACTAACGTGGCCAGTAATACCAATCCTAACCCTATTAGCTAGTATTTTGGTATTTTGCCTTCAGTATTTTGTAGCAGTTTAAGTTAATGTGATGTTCATGTTCTTCAATGCAAAGATACATGCTGGATGATGTTAGATAGGCTTACGTTCTCTCTGTCTTTTTAATAGAAACACAAATCTAGGGGGCTTGAGTGTAGGTAGTAACTTGTCAATTGTTAGTGAAACACTGCTTGAAAAAAGATCGTGGAGAATACTAAGAAATAACACTAAAACCTGAAATTGTAAATGAGACATTTATTCTCTATTTCTCTTATGAATGTAATTTTGAATGTGTGGGAATGGCCAGATTATCAACTGAAACATAGGCTGAAAAGGAAGTCCCAGTGAACCCTTCCTAATAGTTCTTATTTATTTTTTAATGCTGTTAAGTATCAAGGTGATGTTTTCATGGAGCTGTGCGTGACAGCCACAGAATCTTACTCCTGAGTGGTAATATTCTGCTTTTAGCTGATCTTACCTTATTATTTTTTTCCAGCTGTACCACAATTCACTTTTCTATATGAAATTTCATCTACAATGACAGTTTTCAGTCAAAAATCTTTCCAGAAATTAGGACGATACTTTTCTAACCTAAGTGATTATATAGCAGCAATCTATTTGAAGCATGTGCCAGGAAAATTCAGTTAGAAAATACAATTATTTGGGAAAAAAGAAGTTCAGAGGCAGCTGCTTTTTTGCAGGTATTTTCTATCTCTAGCAATGGGTGAAGTCATACAGGTTATATTTTTGATTTCAAGCAGTAGTTGTTGAAATGGAGTAAGTACCAAGGGACTATAGACTTAGAGCCTGAGGTTTTTGTTGGTTTTTTTTTTTTTACTTTTTTTCCTTTTCCTACATAAGAAAAAAATTGTCAATGAAAAGTGCTATTTTCTGCATTTCCTTGTATTTTATAGAAGTTCTTCACCAGTATAGTAAATACCCAATTACTTACTTCAGAGGACTGAAAGGATTACTTAGTTAATGTTTATAAAGCACTTTGAAGATTAAAAGCACTATTGAGATGCTTAAGAATTACTGAATAGTTAATTGTCTAAAGGTCCCATTCTCCCCCCTACAGGTTATTTCTGCATAGGGGAGAGTAAACTCTGAGCTTCATATTGACTTTCAAAGCCAAGAATTTAAAATATTATTGGTTTATAAAAACTGCTGGTCTTAGTGGCCTGAATCTGATTCCTTTGAAATCGATGGCAAAAGTCCAACAGATTCCACTGAAGCAAGATGCAGCTGTTCAGAATAAACAAGTAGAAGAAATGCTTAGAGCCCCTATTCACATTATTTATATTTTGTCTTACTTGGTGTGCATTCACATGTATACGCATATAGATACATACAGACACATGCACAAATATGTGTATACACTGATAGCAATTTGCAGACAATTAAGATACGTTATTAGTTCTATTTTCTTATATATATATATGTATATATTTTAAGTTGTAGCTTTAGGTATACAGAACTCATTCTTTCATTTCATCAGTTCTAGAGAGATGTGCTGTCTTTGCTGAGAACATCCATGGGCACAATGGATCCCAGTCCAAGATTTGAATAGGGCATTCTGAAATACTGCGTCTAGTTCTGGGCTCCCTGGTTCAAAAAAGACAGGGATCTCCTGGAAAGAGCTAGAAAACATCCAGCAGAAGGAAACAAAGATGACTGAGAGCCTGGAGCACCTTCAACACCAGTGACAAGAATCTCTTCAGTATGAAGAAGAGAAGGCTGAGAGTGAATCCCATCACTTTATGAAAATCTAAAGTTCAGGAGTCAAGTTGATGGAGCCAGAATCTTTTCTGATGTATGCTTTAGAGGAACAAGGAGCAATGGGCAGAAACTGGAACACAGGAAGTTTCACACTAACACAAGGAAGAGCTTATTTACTGTCATAGTGACTGAGGAATAGACTGCCCAGAGAGATCACAGAGTCTCCTCTGGAGATAATCAAGACCTGACTAGAAACCTACATGTGCAAGGAACCTGCTTTAGCAGGGTGTTTGGACTATATGGACTCCAGAGGTCCCATCCAACTGCTGCAATTAGTGATTCTGTGATTGCCCCACAAATGAATAATCTCAGCAACAGGGGAAAAATCTAAAAAAGATCCACCTGGCTCCTTAATCTGCTAGCCTTACATCTATCACAGATCTCTCATGAAGAAACTAAGAAAAAGGGAAGGGCTTTGTATGGGAACTGTTACATCACAGCTGAACCAGTGATTGAACACCTGGTGAAGGGGTGTAGATAGCCCTGGGACTACAGGTGGAAGCAATTCAACTACGCAATGTGAAAAGGTGGAGCCAGGGTCCACTGCTGTCTAACCTCATTTAAGCACTGTCAGGAAGGAGCACCTGTAATTAGAGATCATCTTCTTTGGAGTGCTTGGTGAGCCCTGATCCTTGGAAAGGGGGTAAGCAATGCCTTCTTCATTATCAGATTGCGACATCTTGGGTGATCTGAAAGTGGTTTAAAGCAGCTATATTTGCTGTCACCTATCCTTATAGGCTCCTAAATGCAATATTCAGTGTTTGGCCTTAACAAAAGAACCGACAGTAATTACCAGTCTTACCTTCAATATCTTCTTGTCTAATAGTATCTTAACTGCTAAAAGCATTGTAAGCAATAAGAATAAGGTGAAAATTAGACTGCTTACTAAGAACAGAAATCTCCTTTGGACTAAATAGTTTAGGAACTACTATTGCACTTACATCAAACATCTACTGTAAAAGACAGCAGCCCTCCAAACACTAATAAGTACACTTTGTTTTGCAAACCTTAAATATTTATTAATTCTGATATGACTAGTTAGGAATTAGATGTTAATACTAGTATAACTGAAGCTTAAATGAATCTGTATGACTTACACAATTTGAGGAAAAAAATCATGTATTTAACTGGATTTCAAAATTAATTCTTTCCTGAGATAAAGAATGGCACCCCAACCTTGAACTCATTTAAATTTGACCTTTTAATGTGCTACAGCAGCATACTATCATGCTCTTAGCTGTGTTGGCTCTTAAATCAGAGTCGAGATATAAAAGGGCATTGCTGAATTTGTGAGTTGTATCTTTTACGAGAGCTGCTCTTTAAGATTTTGATATGATTAATATTAAGAACATGCAGGGGATGTTAAGAGGGAAAAGTAAAGAAGTGATGAGTAATTCAGTTTAAAAAAACCCTGATTTTAGTATACCTTTGTTTAGTGCTTGCAAGCATACATAAAGAAAAAAACACAGTTAAGATGGATGGCCAAAACATTGGTAGGCAATAAAAAAACTAGTTGATATTTATCCTGGGAAAAAAACACCTTCAATCAAAAGTGAATTTTTTACCCATGTGTATCAGATATTTCTAGAGTTCAGAAGTTAATTATGTGTATATATATATATTATTTATAATAATTATAATTATTATATATAATAATATATATATTATATATACGTATATATATATATATGAGTTCATGCTTCTAAAATATTCTTCTCCCATCTGATAAAATATGTGTGTGCATTTACAGGAAATTGTGGAAACAGTGACTCATCTCTTCAATAATTTATGCAGGATAATTTCTTGAAAAACAAGATCAGCAAGGGCTTTTTCTTCTGATTGCAGAGGATTTGGTTATATATTTTTGAATATTCAGAAAACAAGGTAAGTTTTCAAAGTAGAATCTAAATGCTTGCTCTTTAACAGTAATGCATCATTTCTTTAAGTATATAAACCATAACCTTGTGTCTGTCACTAGGATTTTTCAGAATTCGTTTTCTGTCTTAAGTTAAATTTTTCAAAGTGCTGTATTTGAATGTCGCAAAATACCCCAAAACATCAAAGGTAATTCAGATTTCTCCAGCTATTCTTTGAGCATTTGTACTTAATCTCTATAAGCTAATGTCCTTCCTTAATGTGACTTGAGGTGTTTGTTGCAAGGGGTGATGATCGCTTCTTAGAAGTGACTGAAACCTGAGTTATATGTTCCATCCTCAAATACTTCAAACAGGAATGGAATGATGTCACTGAGGGAAAAGGAAAACTAAACATTATGATGTTGCTGAGGTCAATTTAAGCAGACTGTGTGATGAATTGAGTGTGTCAGAAAAATCTTATCAGATAAATACGTACAAACACAACTGAAACTCACTCATATTACCAGCTCAGCAAAATAGTGCAGTTAAAGCAGGTGACACGCTCATTGACCAGGCTCACTGTCAGGCACTTGGGTTCATTACCTGTAAGTTCCATCTCAGGCACTCTGCTGCTACATAATGTTGGGTGTCCTCATGACAATATTTCCCCCAACCCTGGCTTCTGCTTCCAAGTATCCTTATAGATGGACACTGGCACAAGCAGCCAATCAGATAGTAAAACCCTTCCAGCAGTTTCAGATGTCATTCCCCAGTTACTTCTCAATCTGTGGCTTGCATCAAGGCTCATTACATTCAGAGTCTGCTTGCATTGCTATGTGAGACATGGCTTATTATTATGTTCAGACCTTGTTTGTAATGTCCTGTTGGCTATGGCTCATGTATTCAATCAGCCCTCAGTCTAGGCAAAGCCATACGATGTTACTATGTATAATGGAGGACATTCCCTACGTATCTCCACTCAAAGCAGTTATTCCTTTCAGGTTGTAGTTCCTAAAACTCTAGCATAGTTTCAATACCAGGTTTCTGCATCCAAAATACTTTTAACTGCCTGTGGATGGTCTAGTCCGTGATGTAAGTTACAAGAACTATTTGGGTTCCTCTAGTTCATGGATGAAAACCATAGCTTTAAGGAGAGTAGAAATTGCTTATAAGTGATATGAATGTGATGCAATTTTTTTCTTAGCTGCACCCCCTATGGCATGAGCTGTGAGAAGAAAGGGCATAGAGTCACTGCAACAGATAAAAAGCATCTCCAGGCTATCATTATAAATTATGTCAGAAATATAACAAACTGTTTAAAGTATTTCTTACAGACAGCTATGCGCAACCTAGCAATACTTTCATAATGAAGCAAATTCAGAGCTTTGTTGTTTGGAGGGGAAAAAAAAGGAAAATCAGGTTCTTGCAAATGTTCAAATGGTGTCCAGCATAATGAATACATTAAATGAATAGCCACAGGATACAGAAAATGTACTACAAGTCTGCTCCATTAATCTTCTAAGAGAGTGAAAATCTGCTACAATACAAGAATTTTCTTTTGGGATTCTCTAATTTTAGGATTACTGTAGTTGTTCTGAGACTGCAAATAGCAGCTAATAAAATTTGACCTTACGGACAGACAGTGAAATAAATAATTTTAGTACTGATCAATAAAAACAAAACTAGTAAGCACACATTTTTAAAGGTATGTTTGTAAAAAGTACATTTCTGAACTGCAGAAGTATTTTAAATTCTTGCAGTGACCTGTATGACCTTCTCATCAATATGCCCAACATGAATAATGCAATCACCCCAAACTCATGCCATTAAAAATCGTAATAATTGTCTCACATGCACACACAACATTACATGAGGGATCAATTTGGCCCAGAGCATTCCATTAAAACACAAAGTGAGTTTCAAATGCATATGTTAAAATGAAACATCGGGTATAATGAAAAAAGAAGCAGAACAGAGCAGGCTTTAGATATTAGTATGCATTTTCCTTCAGAGAGCATTTTGCCATGCTTGTGCTGTACATAATGTTATTACATATTTGATTCTACATCTACATTTTATTTTGCTTTTAAAATTATCCTATGAAAAAAACAAGGCAATCAATATACAGCACTCTAGAGAGATGGTGGTATTGAACTGGTATTGCTATTTAATATTTAGTTTCCAATACGGCTTTGATTATAGGCCACTGTATTAGCTACCATACAATTACATAGGAGATGTGGCCCTTAATCTAAAGTTCAACATGTCTTTGAATAATAATGTGTTACTAAGCTTTGAAAGACAGGTGAAACACACTAGAGTAGCCTACTCATTATTTGTTCTTATGTTACCATCAAACGTTCAAAGACTAAGACCTTAGCATTCTTGTGTCAGTTCATGCAGCAAAATACCTAAGAAATTATTCTATTGGAATTACTTTTTGAAATTGTTCCAAAGGCTTTTAGATGGGATAGAGTATTGAAACATTTCATACAGCTTAAAAAGATTGTCATCACAATACTCTGCAGAATTGAGTTTCTTGCTTTAGCAGTGAGGAACTAAGTCACAGTTAGATAAAAACCGAAACACAAATAGTAAATGTTTGCCTTTTACCAAGTATATGTAGAGTATTTCAAAGTATGTAAGAGGCAGAACAAGGATGGATCAGTGGTTGAAGAAGATCATTTAAGGTCTTGGAATTCCTGAACACACTTCAGCTTGGACAGAAAGTGCAGCTGATAGCTCTGTGTGTTATGTAGCTGTTACGCAGCATTATTGGTGAGAGAAGTGGTTGTCCCTGACAGATGCACGGAGAATTTTTAATGTGCCTGGTAATATATTTTTTGCTGAAAGACAACATTGTACCTTTTAGATTTCTGTTTGTAAAGCCACTGTGTCTACCATGTATTTTGTTCTAGATCTGAGTAACCTGATGGAGCTGTAGATGTTCCTGTTCATTGCAGGGCAGTTGGAGTAGGTAGTTTACAGGTCCCTTCCAATCATATTTTTAAATCTTAAAGATTATAAATTCATTTACTGCATAAAGTGAAGACTTGTTTTTATGTACTTCTCACTGTGGAAAGTATGTACTTGTTGAACAAGCTAGCCAATACTTCACAGTTTACCATTTTGTGTGCAGCTTTAAGGTTGTTAAAGTAATGGTTTGAAGTTAATATACATGTGCTATGACTATTTTATATAGCCTCAACATTTTATTTTAAAAATCGAATTTTAGCCCACTTGCATTGAATAATAATAAGGTATCTTTAGCTTACTTCATGAAATTAGAATATTAGAGGCAGTTTCTTAACATTCAGAAAAAAAAAAATACAGAACTTTTCTTTTCCAAGATCTAACAGTATAAAGCAGGTTTCAGTCTACAGTGAGTTTTATAACAAATTAGTAAACAGGAACTCGAGAAAGAAATATTGACAGTGCTATAAGTAGTGCAGTATATGAAAAGTTTTTGAAACTGTTCTATTATTTGCATCATTTATAATTACAGTCCTTACAAAAAGCACTTCTCGACACAGATGTAAGGAAGAAGAACACTTAGTAGCAGCTAACCTGTCATTCTGTCTTATTCTTCAGTGTTCCTGCTTTTCTTGGAGGTCATTTTTAATGAATATATACACAAGCACCTGAAAAATCAGGTGCATAAATTAACTACCAATTAAAGTAGTTTAAAAAAAAAAACACAAAAACTACTTAATTACTAGTTGCTATATATGTCCACTCATTAGCATTCATTATTCCTGCATGTTTATCACATAGCAATTAGAGAAGCTCCAAAGAAAAGTGATGTTTTCATTGTGTTGCAGTCCTGAAACTTGATATAACGTGAAGCAAAAGAATTCACTTTCAAATATATGGCAGCAGGTGCATTTGAAAGAATAGTAGCGTAATTTAATTTAATATAGTAAGTGCTTAATTATTTCTGTATAATATTCCCTTCCCCCTCCCTTTTCATATCACTATCTAGAATGGTTGCTGACCTACTTTTTAATTAATTGCAGTGAGAATACAAAATTGACTTTCACAGGTGAAAATTTTCACTACTTCACATCTGAAATAGTGATGCCTGGTTAATAAATTTCATTGCCACCATCAACAGCAAAATGGCATTACTAACCACAGTCTTAGACAACAATAATGGCACAAGAAAATACATAGAACCTTGAGAACTGAGCGCCACAGAAAATTTCATGTGTATTTATAAGAGTACATGAATTACATAAAATTAAAGGAGCTTATAGTTGGAATATAGATTGCATTCTCATTGTGTGGACTTCATGTCAGTTGCCTTTTGTGCTGTGTAACTTCACGCAAAAAAGAAATGTCTCTGATTTATGTCTGTGGAAACTACAACAGATACAAAGAGCACAATAACACAGAATAAATTCTCAGCTACAAAACAGTATTTTTCAACAGTCACCACTGTTAGCTATGCATTTCCTCCAATCATGAACAAGAATCTGCAGCTGTACTCATAAACATCTGCATGGCTGTCCAGAATGTGACTTGTCTTTGATGTTGCCACTACTGAAACACATCATGCAGTGCCTCACTGTGCTTGCATCTTCTGTTTGATTCCCATAAACATGCAGCAGTGGTTAATGAATGTCAGTGGTGCCATTTTCTCTGCATGGGGGAAGTGACACACCTTTGTTTCATACACGCTTTCATGTTAGCTGTCATTATGTCAGAATGCCTCTCTGCTGCCATCTGTCACACAGCAATAAAATATAATGAAATATTGGCAGGAAGGTTCAGCTTCTACTGTCTTGCCACTAATATCTGCCTCTGGGTTCATGGGCTGGCAATCTGGAAGACATTTGTTTTGATCTGGCCCTCATACTTTTAAAAAGTTAATAGTGGCAATTATTAGCTACTAGTTCAATATGCCCTCCGACTGAAAGGTGCATTTGATTCCTCTCTTTACCTTGACTTTTGATCTTTCAAAAATACAGCTACCTGTTGCAAAATGATTTAATTAACCCCTTAGTGAGGGTTATTATTGGTCTTTCC